CGCCGGAGCCCCGCACACGGGCGCCCCGCGGCCCCGTGAGCCCGCCCCGGAGGCCCGGAGGAGGATGGCGGCGGATGGAGAGCGGAGGCGCCGGCGGCACTCACCGTGCGGAGAGCGCGGCACCAAGATGGCGGCGGAAGGAGAGCGGGCGAGAGCGTCAGCGACGCACGCCGGTGGCAGGGGGAAGCCGGACGCCGGGGAGGGCGGGGCCAGCGCGCGCTTCCGGGTCAGGCCCCGCCCCCCGTCCGCCCTGGCAGCCTCCGCTTCCCTTAGCGAGCCGAGCAGCTGTCGTCCCGGCGTCCTATGGTGACAGCGGCCGAAATGAGGCTGTGAATTCCTGGGAGGACGCGCGGGCCTGGCGGGAGCCGCCCAGCCGCGGCCTTGACCCCGAGGGACGCGCCCAGAGGCCGAGCGTAGGCGGAGGAGCGGCAGCTGGTGCAGCCCGCGTCCCCGGATCCGTCCTCCAGCCGAGCGGGCGAGCGAGCGAGACGCGAATTTGCAGCCACCGGGCCCGTGTGTTCGCACCGATGGAGAGAAGTGGCCCGTGTTAAAGTCCCAATTGTTTTCATTTTGGAATCGACGATTTAGGGCAGCGAAAGTTCGGTTCTCCCCAGGGAAAAAACGCTCTAACCCCCAGCCCGGGGGAGGCAGAGGCAGGCGGATCTCTGAGTTCGAGGCCAGCCTGGGCTACAGAGCGAGGTCCAGGACGGCCAGAGTTACACGCAGAGCTTTAACACACAGTTCGTTTTGCCTGATATTTTTGGCACTTCTCAGATATTCTTTTTTGTGGCGGGGGCGGGGGCCGTGTTTCGAGACAGGGTTTCTCCGTATAGCAGCACTGCCTGTCCTAGAACTCGCTCTGTAGACCAGGCTGGCCTCGAACTAACAGAGATCTGCCTGCCTCTGCTTCCCGAGTGCTGGGGTTAAAAGTGCACCGCCACCGCCCAGCTCTTCTCAGATATTCTAAAATTCACCCCTTTTAGAGTCAGCGTGGGAATGTAGCTCTGCTGGTAGAGTGATTGATTAGTAAACAAGAAGTCCTGGGTTTCATCCTGCAAACCAGCATTTGAGAGGTGGAGACAGGATCAAGAGTTCAAAGCCATCCTCAGCAAAACAGCAATACAGAATCGTGTGAGGGTTTTTGTTTTGTCTGAGACAAGGACTCTTACTGTAGTCCCAGCCGGCTTCAAACTCACTTAGAGATCCACCTGGCTCTGCCTCCTGAGTGCTGGGATTAAAGACATAGGCTACCAAGCCCCTAACCTTGTGTTTTTGAGACAAGGTCTTACTTTGTAGACCAGGCTGACCTCGAACTCATAGAGACGCATTTGCCTCTGAACCTAGCAAATTTAGAACCAGGCTGGGCTAGGTATTGAGAGCCTGTCTCAAAACAAACAAAACCTCACACTCTGAAAGTGGAATATACTGTAAAACCAATATTTTGTTAAAGAAATGTTTTACCATCTCAGTTCTACATAAGAACTCAACAAACTTGAACCTGGACTACTTAGATCACCTGCAGGGCTGTTTTTGTTTTTAAATAACTTATTTAAATTTATTTTATATGCGTTGATGTAAAGATGTCAGATCCCCTGGAACTGGGATTACAGACAGTTGTGAGCTGCCATATGGCTGCTGGGAATTGAACCCGGTCCTCTGGAAAAGCAGCTAATGCTCTTAACCACTGAGCCATCTCTCCAGCCTGTCTTTGTTTTTAAAGCAGGCTCTCTGGAGGTCTAAGCTCATCTCAAACTTGCTGCCAGCCCTCCAGAGTATTGGGCTTACAGCTGTGCACCATCACATCTGGCTAACGCTTACTTGATTTAATTGGCTGAGTTTTATAGGAAGCGTTGAGAAAGTTAAATATTCTGAAAGGTACTTTAAACTCATGATTGGGCTGGCCAGACGGGTCAGCTAGTACAGGAGCTTGTAGTGCAGGTCTGGCGACCTGAGTTTCATCCTTGAAACCCACGGAAAGGTGGAAGAGAACAGACCCACAGAGTACGGAGCACGTACACAAGTAAGTAAATAAAATAATATCTGGGCTGGAGATACGTCTCATCAGTTAAGAGCACTAACTGCTGTTTCAGAGGGCAGGGGTTTAATTGCCAGCACCTACAGCACTTCTGTCTGTATCTCCAACTCCTGGGGAATTTTAAGCCCTCTTCTGGGCTCTGGGAGCATTGCATGCATGTGGTGCAAAGACGTACCTGCACGCAAAATACCCATACACATAAAATAGAAATAAAGAAAAAATAAACTGTCTTGAGAATTTGCGTATAATCAATGAGAATTAGGATGAATAAATCAGGATTAATTGGGGTAGTAACTTTACAAGGACTAGGAAATTCTGAAATCATCCTCATATAGGAGACACTGCCTGACTAAGAACAGATTTGGGGCTGGGAATAGAGGTTAGTTGTTATGTTTTGGAAACACACGTGAAGGTCTGGGTTCGACTCTCAGTGCTCTTAAAACCAGGCATGACAGTGAAAGCTTGCAATGCCAGCACTTGGGAAGTGGAGGTCAGAGGTTCAATTCAAGGTCTTCCTTGACTATGTAAAGGTTGAGGCCAGCCTGGGCTACATGAGACCAGTCCTCCACCACACACACACACCCCAATTTTCTTTTTTTAAATTGGCTTTTAATCTTGTCTAGACCATTTAGACTATCCTATTTTTGCCTTAATCTGTAAAATGGGAATAATGGTTACTGCTTCATAGTATTGTTAGGAATATATGCACATGACTTAGTGCTTATTATTAAAATTGTAGCTAAACCAGGCACTGGTCGGGAACCACATCTGCTTGGGAAGCTAGGGCAGGAGGATGGAGATTTGGAGGTGAGTTTGAGCCGCACAGCTGGATCTCTTAAATGTGAGGGGAGGGGATGATGCTGGGATGAGGTTTACTTATAGAAGTCTGTTTTCTCGAGTCAGCCTTGGGTTTAGCCGCTGAGTACTTCCTCTTGTACAGGGCCTTTCTGGAATACATAATAGACTGAGTAGATGCCCGTTCCTCCAGCCAGGACAGTGTTGAGGCTACGGAGTCTAGTTGACATTGCTCACTCACCCTGTTGGTAAGACTAGCCTAGGAAGAGATTTATGTGTGCACACACGGGAGGGTCAGAGGACAATCCTGAACATTGGCCTTCAGGTTTCAACCTTGTCAGAGACAGGGTCTTTGGCTCGCCAGTATGTCAGGCTGGCCGGCCCTCGGTCTTCTGGGATTTTCCTCTCTACCACTCCTCTCCTTAGCTGCTGGAATGACAGACTCAGGCTACTGCATCCAGCTTTTATGTGGTTCTAGAGATCCAACTCTGGTCTTTACGCTTGTGCAATAAGGGCTTGGTCCCTTTATCATCTCTCCAACCTGTATCATATTCTTTGGGTTCCTTATGACCAAAGTTTGAAACACCAATTTGGTGTCAAGTTGTGTCCTTTTTTTTTCCTTTTTCAGATAGGGTCTCATATAGCCCAGATTGTCTTGGAATTGCATAGCCAAGGATGGCTTAGAACTCTTGATCCATCTGCCTTAGGCTCCCAAATGCTAGGATTACAGGTGTGCACTACCACACGGCTTGTTTCTATACTTCTACCAGTGGCTTGGAAAGTCAAGGAAAAGGTAAATCAATAGTCTTTTGGGTGTTCTGTTCAAGAGCTATACAATTATTACTTTAAAAAGAAAACCTGAGTTGGAGGCCAGCCTGGTCTGTAAAATGAGTTCTAGGACAGCCAGGGCTACAGAGAAAGAAACCCTGTCTCACACACACCCCCAACCCTAATGAGTCTTAGTAATTATTTTTTTATTGTATGTGTAAGGTGTGTTGTCTGCATGAGGGTGTGCATGCTTGTGCAGTACCCAAGGAAGCCAGAAGCTTTGAGCCATCTCTGTAGCCCCAGTAATTATTAAGAAGTTTTAATTGATTTACTATTTTTTAGAAGCTGAAGACTGAATAATCCACAGTATACAGAAGCTTAAATAAGCAGTTTTGCAAGATGGCTTTTAATATTTTTCTTTGAGGAGTAGGAGAGGAGGTCTAAGTGTTTTGATAAACACTATATATGTATATGAAATATATATTTGAGACAGGGTCTCACAATGTAATTCTTTTTTTTTTTTTTTTTTTAAACAGGGATAATGAAAAGGTTTATTACTGGCCGGGTGTGGTGGTATACACTCAACCCCAGCACTCATGAGGGGCGAGGAACTCTGGGAGTTCAAAGCCGTCTGGTCTACATATCCAGGTCCACGTCAGCCAGTTTCTTACACCCACTGAGTTTAGGAGTCTCCTCTGTCAGGGAACCTTATTAATGGAGAAGGTGGCTTCACCACCTGCACGACCCTGGTGGCCGAAGCCATCTTGCTGCCCATCATGACCCCCGAGCAGGGGCAACAATGTATTTCTTGAGACAGGGTTTCTCTGGGTAGCCCTGGCTGTCCTGGAGCTCACTTAGACCAACCTGGCCTTGAACTCAGAGATCCCCCGCCTGTGGAGAGCTGGGAATGAAGGCAAATGGCTACTATGCCCTGCCACAATGTAACTCTAACTCTGCGGGCCGGAACTTGATATGTAGCCCAGGCTGCCTCAGCTTCAGACATCTGCCCATCTATGCCTCCTGAGTGCTGGGATGAGTGGCGCTAACCCCCTGGCAATAGTTTTGTTTGTTTGTTTTGGTTGTTGGTTACAGGCTTTCTCTGTGTAACAGCTCTGGCTGTCCTGGAACTCCTCAAACTCAAAAGATCCACCTGTCTCTGCCTCCTGGGTGCTGGGGTTAAAAGCATGAGCCACCACACAAGACTCTAAATTGGTTATATTTTTAAATGCCTCTTTGTGGTAAACTAATCCAGTTTCTGAGGGGAAAAGAAGCTAAAATGGAAAATACTTGAAAAAGACATTCTATTAGGTCCTAATATTATTCACCTAACTTTTTTTTTAAATTATTTTTGTTTTTTTTTTTTCCGAGACAGGGATTATCTGTGTAGTTTTGGTGCCTGTCCTAGATCTTGCTCTGTAGACCAGGCTGGCCTCGAACTCACAGAGTTTCTCCTGGCTCTGCCTCCTGAGTGCTGGGATTAAAGGTGTGGGCCACAGCTGCCGGCGGCACAGGTTTTTTTAAAAAAAAATTTTTTTTTAAGATTTACTTATTATGTGTACAGCATGTCTGCCTGCAGGCCAGAAGAGGGCGCCAGATCTCATTACAGATGGTTGTGAGCCACCATGTGGGTGCTGGGAATTGAACTCAGGACC